AAATGAGATTTAGTGGCTGCTAGCAAGAAAATTAAATTGCAGCAGAAAAGACCAGTTGCAGCTTCTGATTTGTTCTTTACGTAGTAGTGTATTCATCAACCACTCTGTTCTTGAATGTTTCACTTGAGGTTTCATGAACAACCTTGTTTTCCCCTCTTTTCTTCCCTACCTGAAAATGCTACAAGATAAACATAAAAAACCCTGGACTCTTCCTACAGAAGGAGGAGGTACTTGTGTACTCACAATATTTTTAAATAAAAACTGAGATGCTGCCTATGATTTTTTTTTTTGTTATATTTGCCTTGTGGAGTAAGATTTCCATTGCCCTGTTCAAAGTACCATTTGTTACCAAAGCCCAAGATAACTGACTTGAATAGGACTTAAAAAGAGAGAAATGGAAAAATATCACTATCCTTTAAACAACTATTACAAACTTTCCTTTGAGCGTCTTGACTAAGTATATACAGTATAAAAAAATCTGATGAAGTGAATGTTTCCTAACTATTGGAGGTATTCTAAAGTGCTTTACCAACTTAAATTTTGAAAGTAAAGACTCATGCCCATCTATTCTTGGGGGACCTATTGCCCTAGGAAGTGGAGCAAATACTCTTCACTGGCATGCTAAGTGTATGAACATGAATTGTATAACTTTTAATGTATTATATTAAAATTGGAGCAGGCCAAAGCTTGAAGGGAAATGCTGTACAGTTGGATCTGTGAACTCCGATCTGTGGCTCTTGAACCCTGTGATCAAAGCAGTATCTCTGGAGATAGGTGTGACCACACTTCCACACTAGAAGAGGGATTGCCAACAGGCATGAACTTCATGTTTCACATAACACTTCTTTTCAAAGATCTTTTAAAATAATAGTTCTTTCCATGAAACGAATCTGCTAATAACACAAACATGAATACTGACCAGTTCTGGGTAAGGCTGTGTGAAAAACTGCATTGGAAAATTAATTTATGGTGGGTAACGTGGTACAGCTTCTATGGCTGAAACTTTAAAAAGCGACTTGCTCTAGTCCAGACAACAGAGCTTTGGCACATTAAGACAAATGTTTTCTATGTAGGACTGAAACTTGTGTCAGTTCTTGCTGCAAGCTTATTTGCTGGTTTGCTTCTTTCCCCTTCATTCTGCTTCTGAAACCTCAACATTTTTAATACTTTATTCTTCCATTTCTAACAAAATTGTCAAAGAACATGAAATTAGCTATTCTGATGATACAACATAAGCCTAATTTACTGCACGTACCTGGACTGATGGGTATTAAATTGCCATCGGTATGGAAGCAAACTTAACTTCAGTTGTGGTTTGACTTGGTCAAGAAGGTCTCTGTCCTGTTGATGGACGAGTAAAGACCAGTGGTTAGCTGTTGCTTTTCATCCTGTGGTGGTACAGCTGAACAGTTCTCTAGCGTACCTCAGTGTTGGAAGGCCTGTGGCTTATTGTCACTGAGGTAAGCATGATGGGCCTGTATTTACCTTAGGATAAGCAGTCATTAGAAAAACACAAAGGGATAGCTGTTTTATTGAACTGTATTATACTCTAACCAAGAGCCTAGCATGGTTTTACTATTTTACTATGTAGCATATTTCATATAGCCTATTTATAATTCAGAGAGTTAACTTTATCAGAAGATACAGGAAGTCTCTTTCCAAGATTGTAGGACTCCTGGTACTGGTGATCTACTGGCTTGGCTTTCTGCAGGACGCAGGGATCTTTTCTGGTTTTCTACAAAGTACAACACAACTGGCATCATCACATGTAGCCCTGAATAAACAGGGTAACTGCTCTGTATGGAATTTACATCTGATTTAAGTTGAAATCTCTGAAGTCAGTCTTTTAGAAACTCATTTAACTAAAAAAAAACCCCCACAAAACAACTGAGTGGTAAATCATATTTTAGATTAATTACAACACATTGTTGATCAGGAAGTTGGTTTTAAATTTAAGTGCATATTGCACTGTTGGATCATGTAAAATGTAAATGCTTTAAATCTGCTATATTTTGGAGTATGTTGTCAAAAATAGTCTTTGTATAACTATTTTATACAGGCTGAAAACACAACTTTGTAAAATAATCCTGAATGAGGACAGAAGTCTTATTTTAAATACTTCTGCTCCTCTGCTTTTAGAAGAACGTAATATATGTAAAATAAAGATTTTATTTTAGACTTCAGTGGAAGTGGTGCATATAATGTATTCTTAGCTCTATATACTTTGCATATTTTATTACAGAATGCCACTACTTGTATTTATTTTGGCTAGTTTTTATGTATGATCTAAAATATCCTTGGCCAACAAGTATTTTGTTAGCAGTAGCTGCATATAGCATTCATATCTAGCATACCGTAGCTGGAGCCGTAATGGTTTATCCTGTGCATGCCTTGTAGAACTTGGAACTTTTCTGCATTAAGTTCTGAGAATTTGTTAGCTCTGTGAAATGAGGATTAAGAAATAGGCATGAAAAATTAAGGTAGGGATCAGTGATCCCTACACACTGAAAGCAGTGCCTTCTTGTATGAAGTAGCAATAGTCTTCTGCTATGCTGTTAAGGTAGGATCCCAAAGTTTGCTGAGACTCAAAGAACAGTCTAAGTTTTATCAGCACTATGGGCTTGCAATAAATTCTAAGCAATCGGAAAATCAGCTTATAAAAACAGCTGCAAGTGTTATGCCTCTGGAACAGCACAATCTGATTTCACTTCAGAAGTGCCTTGGCACAGAGCTGTATCATTGCAGAACTCCGCATGCTCATAAGCATCGGCCTTATTTGCCATTGTTGAACTAGACCCAGAGGGTCCATCCTAAGACTCCGCAGTTCCCTTTGGAGGACAGAGGTGACTATAGTTCACCTTTTAAAGGTCTCAAAAAGACCTGATTTCAGCCAGAGTGGTATTTCTCAACAGTACAGCAGGGAGGCGATTGTTTCCTCCCATTAGCAGTACGATGAATGAAGAAGGTCATTGGTCCCCAGTGTCCAGTACAAAATAAGGTATCATACCTGTTCAGGCAAGCTACAGCTCGTGACCAAACTGTACCTCAGGCAGTAATGCTTTTCCAACATTCATTCTCTAGTGCTGCCTGTGGCAAAAGTCATCTATTTGCATTCCGTGTGTGAGAGGCAAGGAGTCTTGTTTACCTTGCATAGGGGCAAACAGCTAGTACAAAATAATACTCGTTATACTTGAGGCAAGCAAATTTAGTTGTCAATATGCTTACCTTGTTCACAACATCTGTCTTTTTTTTTGTATATCACATGCAAGAAACAGGCACACCTGTTCAAGAACCAACTGCTGGCATGTGTGATGTTAAAAGAAAATGATCAGACAGAATACATTTCCTATGCAATGCAGCAGAATGTTTATTAAACGTTTTTTGTATAGCTATGAACACTTCAAAATAAAATTGGTATACCTCTGAGGTGTGACGTGCATAGCATTTTAGTTTCATTTCCTTTACATCTGACACAAATTTTATCGGAACACTTGAAAGCTACACCTGAAGGAACAAATTCTTATTGCATACAGAAGTTCACAGAATAATGCAGTACTGTTTTCCAGTCAGCAGTGAGGTAAAGTACTGCTTGACAAAACGCCAAACTTGGAAGGAAAACTTCTGTACTTGCCTTTGCTGATAAGAGTTGGGTTTGTTTTAAAACTGTTCTTTCATTAGACAGCACTAGTTATCAGGAACAGAATGTTTTAAAAAAGTAAAAAAAAAAAAAAAAACCCAAAACCCCCAAAACCCCTTGATCAATAGTAATATAATAACACTGATCAATAATAAAACTGATCAATAATATTTTGTATCATCAAAGGACAGCGGGACACAGAGAATGCTCTGTCATTTCCTCAAATTTTTAATCTCAGGAATAAGATTTCTGTACTTCAGCTGTTGGTTCTTAAATAAAATTAATGTTTCCAAACATTCTGGTTTTGCTATTCTCATACTTGTCTTGTTTTCCTAATTAAAACCTCATGCATCAAAATACTTCACTACGTTCTTTTCCTACATTTTTGGGGTTTTTTTGTATCGAATTGCTGTCTGTTAAGTTTCTGTCTTGTTTGTCCAGTAGGAAAGTAAATAAATGCATTAACAATTACATAGATAGTGATCATCTGCCAGCTTATTCAGCAGCTCTGTGAGGTAGGAAAGTTAGTATCGACTTAAAAGGTGGAGAAACTGAGGCGAAGGACTGAAATTCTCATCACTAATCTGTGTGCCACTGGTGAAAACTAGGATTCCATAATTTCTCAATCTTAAATTCAGTCATATATACTTTCTAAGTGAAATTACCCTTAATTATTACTTATGCTGATACATAAAGGTAATGTAACACGTTGTTAAATACTACAGTTCCTTTTTACCAAAATACTAAAAATAATGAGTTCTTTTAACTAGAATAATAGCTCTTCAAAATACTCTCATTATTTTGTCCATCTAACTAAGGTCCTTTCAAGTCAGTTTATATTAAAGTGCTTAGTGGTCAATTATTTTCAGTCACCTGAATTCAGAAGTTACATAAATTCCTTCAGAGAAGTCAGCTGCCAAATACGAGCGCAGCTTATGTCCATAAAGGCCATATCTCTTTTTCACTGCAGTCATCAAGAATTTCACTATTATTTTCAAGATTTGACTGCTAAAGCATAGAACTGACTAGTGCAAATGCTTAGGCACAATTTCGATTAAAACGCATACATTCTTTTTCTGTGCAGAGGCAATACAATGGTATATAGCTTACTCTGTCAGTAGGCATTCCAGAGAACCTTAAAAAGGTGCATGTCTGCAAAACATTTGGCAAAAGAACAAAACAAAGGATCCCATATCCTGTTTTACAGCATAGTACAATTAAAAAGAATTGTCCAACATGTTTTTGGAGAGTATACTTAAAACCAACAGAGCTAAAGCATTAGTTCTGTTGATACTCAGCCTACCTCCAGAATTCTACTTCAAGTAGTGTAAGACTTGAGCAGCGTGCCACCTAGCAACAATAGCTAATACGTTGCTTCATCCATATTGTCATCACTGCCAGCACCAAAGTCATCTCCATCTTCAAAATACGAAGAAATGTAGTCATTTTCCTAAACAAAAGGAAAAAAACATCTGTCACTGTATCTTTAGAGGAGACAATTTATGAAAGAAACATACTTTAAACTGCACTTGAGCACCCACGTTTTGAAACTGTAATAGGAGGTTTTTTTCTTTCCTTATTTCTTGGGAAAGAAAAAGGAAAATACTGTAATGAAGTTCTGATACCTATGAAAGAAGGGGCATCACTGTTTTAGTGATGAAAATGAATAATTGTATGTATTGATTGTGGCAGGACACATTCCTTCTTGCAAGACCTTTTTTTTTCAGAGCTCTTTGGGAATAGCAAATCTAAAACACCCACTTTAACTTAAATTAACTACAACACAATATAGTGCAATGAAGAAAATTAACTTAATGCCTCTCACTACAACTCTCCCTCAGCATCAGAGAAGCTAGGGACATTTCTTTGGCTGACAGCCAACACACTACTCAATGAGTGGGATCTGACTGTGTAAATAGGAAAACTAACATTATACCTCTTCATGCTCCTCTTCATCATATTCCTCTGGTTCTTCTGCTTCTTCATCATCTTCACCTTCTTTGTCTTTTGTTTTGTCTTTCTCATCTTCAGATTTTTCTTCTTCATCATCCTTCTTTTCCAACTCCTGTGACAAGGCAATCTCCTTTACAAGGTAATCACATGTTACAGTAACAGCACATCCTCCACACTACCAAAATCTCATGCTGCAGTTAACGGCAAGACACCTAGCATACCAAAGTTGTGCAGAAGTTGTTTGTCAGTATTTAAAACAACATGATGTGGAGCGCATCTTAAGTCTATAAAAGTATGTGTTTTGTAAGAAATTGAGGTGATAATTTCCCTTTACCATCCACTGCTGGAATAATTGACAGTAGGCGGCCATGTCATACTTGATAAAACACCACACATACTGTATATAATAACGTCTCTGCACCAAACAACTGATGGATCACCAAGAGAAAAAATAAAAGGCTGTTTCACCTTTAAGCTTCCCATTCTCAAATGGTGGGTAGTTGCCTCCAAAACCGAGGTCGCTTTCCTCCCAAGTTTTCTCTTTCTGCATGCTGCTTCTCTCTCAATTTATTAAACTGTTTAATTTCTAACACCAGTGGACTAGCAAAACAGCAATAGATCTAAAAGCTCTGGCACCAATTCCTCCTTCAATAAGCTCCAATAGCAGCTCCACTGTTTACAGTTAGGCTACATCACTACCCAGTGAAGAGCAACTGGTCGTTGTGTTCAAACAGCAGCAAAGAAAATAGTTTCTTCACAGCCAGGCTCTATCCTTATCCTCTCCTTTGTGCTACCACACTGCAGAAGAGTTGTCTGTCAGAGTAACAAGACAAGGCCAGAAAAAGACTGCTCTGGTTATTCCATTTGGTACCACAAAACATACTAAAGGTTTCCTTTTCCTTCAGCAATTTCTGTTGTACAATTTAGAAAGAGTCTGCACATCTTACCTCAATTTTTTTCAACACATCCAGATTGCTCTTAGGCTCAGAGCTTTTTGCCTTTTTTGGTTTTGCACCTGCTGAAATAAAATACATCACAATTATTTTTTTAATATGGATGAACACAAATTCTTTTCTTTTACTTGCTCTTAAGAGCTTACATCTTGAGAATGCCACAGAAATCCCATACCGTCTGTATTAAAATTACCTTAGACTTTGAGCTCAGGGAGGTGTAAATGCCTGACTTATGTAAACGATGCCTATGGGGCCAGTCTGAAATTCACTTTGAACATATAGTTGACCAAAGGTTTGGCCAAAGTATGACGTTCAGCTTCACAACATACTTTTCACCTACGTACTCACAATATGTTAAGAAACTAGAACAGAATCTCAATTGTTATTTTTCATAATCTTGAAAAGATAAAAACTCTTTAATGTTACTAATTTATGCAACACATTAATGACAGCTGGGTGCTTCAGATAGACAGATAAAAAGGCAGACAGCAGAGTTTATTAGCTCCACCACAGTAAGCATGGTTACTGCAGCTAGATGGCTTTTGGACCACAATTGGCTCATCTAATGAGTCCACAGTGCGTATTTTCACCTAGTCCCTTAATTCATGAACACCATCTTTATCAAGTTACTCCCTACAATCCAACCTCATTATGCTACTTAACTATACGGTGGAGCGAAGGTCAAAAATAGCATTCCACATACCCAGGTAAGAGCTACCTGAATTGCAGCACCCTACACTAAGGGAATAGCTGCCCCAATTCCAGGAGTGCAGTTTGACCAGTAGATGAGGAGAAACAAAGAGGTCCATACCGAGAGATGTTACAGTCTTTAGAGAGCTCTGTGAGACATCCTGCTTCCATGATGTAACTGTCTTTTGGTTCTGCTATATTCAGCACGATCACACAAAACTTACAACACAGGGCTGTACCTACCACAGATCAGCTCTTCTCAGCAGGGTAAAACTGCCTGTGTAACGTGCCATATTGATGTAGCTACACGGCTTCTGATGGACAAGGCAGCTTCAGACAAGCTAGCGTATGTAACTTGCACTTTTTTTAGGCTAGGCTGCACTAAGCAATATCAGAAAGAAAAACAGTGTGCATCGGTGGAGAGGATATCCTTCCTGATGCAGATAGTAACCCAATGCGCTTATGTATTTTATCTGGCGTAATACTTAAGGAAGCAGAATGCTAGGAGCTGCTGAGAAGACAACTGTATTTTGTCAAAAGCATTTGTCGTAAGTAACATTCAGTTCATTTCAGTGTTTTGCCTAGGAAGGGATTATGTGGCAAAAGCATTGCACAGAGCTGAGGGGAGTCAAGCTGCTCTGTAATAACATATGAACAGCGTCAAAGCAAACACATCCAGAATGAAGCAGGCTTTTAAGGAAAACAAGTGGAAAGTGCGATTCAAAATTATGATTTCTGCACAAACCCCTGCAGGCTTTTAGAGATAATGCCTATAGAACAAACAGCCTGGAAATACAAACAGACATGTGAGATCTTTCCTTAAATGCTAGGCATCTCTGGAGTTTATAATAAAATTAGAGACACTGACCTATCGTTAGTAGAACTTCAAGCATTATAGCTCCTTACATCCATTGAGGTGCAATGGAATACAATCTAATCTTTCCAAATACCTGTTCTCACAGTACTTGGGCTTAAATGCATACATCTGATTGCTATAATCACATGCATATAGCTGGCCTTCAAAAGCTGAACCCAATTGACGTTTTGGGGTTTTGTTTTTTTTTTTTTTTTCGTTTTTTTTTTGGCAGGCACTGCTGGAATCTAGGAAACTGTGGTCCACAGCCCAGGATAAGTGTGGGAGAGATGTGGAATTCTACCCAAAGTTTTGTCACTAAGAAGGCAGGTGGTCAGATCTCTGCTTAAAACATTCAGGGAAACCAGAAAGGGGGAGGGAGAGGTGTGTAAAAATAAAGCCGTCCCCGTACAGGTAGTAATCCCAAAACCACTCCTGCAGTCTACAAAGGTAGAAAGGTAGGAAGAATGGTAGGAAGTTTGAATTTCAGTGCAGATTCTCTTGACTCCCTTCACCTTTCTTCCGCTCCATTATAAAGTGTCACCTAAGATGGCTGTCCTCAAAATACAACAAAGATATGTACCAGAAGGGCTAATGTGTCACTGATCAGCTATTTACAAACCTCTTGAGTCATATGACTTTTGTATGGCCTCTGTTTTGAATCAGGATTCCCCAAAAAAACTAAAACCACATGATTTTTGCTTTTAGAGGAACCTATTTTTTTTATCCAATCGAATTCTGATGGTCAGCTGATCTTTGCCATTACAACTATGTAAGAAAATGTACTTTTAAGAGCAAATCGAGAAACTGACACAAAAGAAAGAGGAAAAATCCCCCACAGTGAACAGTGATTCTCTCTTTGTTTATGATAATCACAACATTATTGTAACAAGGAATAATAAATCTGCATTTACGATTTCATTGGATCATGGGGAGCTAGTTATTGTGTATAGCCTTATAAAAGCCAATGCAGTTTCTCCTTCTTAAAAAAAAAAAAGTAGGTAGGTACTGGTTTCATTTTAGAGATTTTGCAAATAAGTATTTAATTTTCAGTTGAATCTCGCAGTCTACCTTTAGTACCATGCTTCTCAATGACACTCTTAAAAGGAACAAAGCTTCCAGCTGAGCCAGTCTCCATGGCTACTGCACATTCCCTTTTCTTTTTCTATTTTATCCTTGAACTGAAAAATGACACATGAAGGACTTGGACAAAGAGAACAAGAAAGTAAACAATTATATATAACAGACAGCTAGATACAGGAGGCCAAGTGTTATTTCACATCAACAGAGCAACAGACTTCTACAGAGAACTTAAAATAACCGTCATGCATACTAGAAAACACTTTGAAAAACAAATACACATATGATGCTGTGTAATAAAAAAGTTTTTTCCTGTAAGAACAACCAATACGAGCTCCAACTGCTGTTGAAGGATCTGGTTCACAATTCTGCAGAAGAAAGCTGAAAATAAACAAAAAAAGTAAAACCAGGGAAAATAGAAACTAACCTACATTAAATCACATATAAAAGGCTTAAAAAATGCAAAAGTCAACCAAATCATAAACAAGATAATTGAGAAACCCAAAATATAAAAGAAATCTGAACAGACAGCTATTCATTGAATACAAGAAGGGTGAGTGTTGACTAAAGCTACAAACTTTCAACAGAAAAAGTTTTGTGTTTTTTTTAGTATTTCACTGTTACATATCTCATATGGTAATATGGTACATCAATATGAAAGGCAGGAAAGCAAGATAAATCTGTTCCAGTAAGTTAAAACATCCTACAGAAGCAAAGCAAAACCCACAAAAGACAGGCAGACTAGTAAATTATTTAGAAAAAACTGCCAAAAGACCTCATTATTTGGACTAATTAATGTTTCTGCCATTTTTTTTCCCCTAACCAGCTCCAGTATGTCTTCTATCACTCAACTAGTGTGTACTAAATGCTTCTTAAAAATATGTAATATACCTTTTTTGGTCTTTTTCTTTGGCTTCATCTCTCTTGGGAGTCTTCTCCAATCTGTACAGAAAATAGCTTTAATATATATTAATGATGATTTACAGTTGTAATCCTCCCCCTGCCACCCACCAAGGAAAGGCAGGGGCCCCTGTTGTGCTTGATCCTATTTATATGCATGCCTAAGTGTTTTAGCACACAACAGTTTTATGGAATTCTAGCTGTACTTTACATGAGGAACTGGTGTGAGGACTGGTATTTCACTGACTTGAAAGACAACTGGCATCTGCCCCAAAGATATAAAGTTCAGCCCTTCCAGTGGCCCACGTGCCCTTCAATTTACATTCTAGAATTAAGTTTGCAGTAGTGAGCTAAACTGATATGGTTATGGAAGTTTAACATTATAAAACCCAGCTACCTGTGACTGAGACATCAGGTTGGGTTATTTTTAGTGACATCAATGTTCACTCCCAGTTCAAAACTGGTATCTGCATGACAAGCAAGGAAGGAGAAAAGCTAGAGTGAGAGCTGAAGCTCGCATTTTTGCTGCAAATCAGTTGTTTCAACTGAGTAAATAAACAAAATCAGATTTTTCTCCTTTTGTTGGGGGAGGGGGGGAGGGCAGACAAAACCCTACTTCGCCTTGATCTGAAAACATGCAAAGGGTATAACCCCCAACAAGGACATGACTTGGTAAGGATTTTACCATGACTTGGTAAGCAATACTTTTTTTATTGCTTGAAAAATAATGAATCAAACATTTAAAAGAGCAGAACATTTCACAGGTTAATAAAGAATTAGCTTTTGATAACCTCAGATATTACCTGGGGTCCATGTTGCATGCTCCTTTTCACTGTCCTGGTACTTTCTACTGTACCTCTCAATTGCTATAGAGAAGGATACAAAGAGTTATTAAATTCAGTTAATTAAAAAGTCAATCCAGACACTGTCCTTGATATTTTCTGGTAACTAAACATATAGTGTATTTTTTTAATCCCATGTTGAACGCTTTCTTGTGCTGTTGTCAAACACTTAAAAAACAGTTTAATGTCACTACTTTGAGCAGTTCTCATGATAATTCCCAGGACTAATCATTTGCTAAGTACTTGCAAGACCTGAATTTTATATTCCCCCAAAAAAGGCAAAACCCCCAAATATTGCTTTGCATTTTTGGGGTATCTCCTTTCAATCAAAACACCCCCCTCTCCCCCCCCCAAAAAAAACCCCTCCAAAATCATTATAATTTATACTTCTATCCTTGGAAAGCATGAAAACATAAAATGCAGATATAGTCAGGGAAACTAGGTTGAAACATCAAATGAATGCTAACTCTCCAACTCTTTAACAGTTTCACAATCAAACTTTTGCTACAAAACCAGTCAGTGACATTTATCACCACTGTGCTAATCATAAAGAGTATCAGAAGGCCACGTCTCAGACTGATCATGATCAACTCCCAAGACTTTAAGTACTTCTGCATAGCAAAGCTTTGCAGCGTAACAGAGATGTGTCCTAAAGAATAGCAACATATTTTAGTCCATTTAATCCCTTTCCAGGCACAAGAACTAAACCAAGAAATTCACTGTAAATAATACAGTAGTTATACAGTGTAAGTACATCCATTTATACTACTGCAAAAAAAATCTCTTATACAATCTCTAATGACAAAAGCAGTATCAAAACTTAAGTATTTTTAAATCAGTCCCATTTTTTCGTACCAAATTACCATCCCCAACTGCAAAATCCACTTAATGCAAAGTTACTGATTCTGATTGCAGTAATAACTGCAGGGATAATTTTTGTGCGTATTGTACAAAAAATGGTAACAAAGACAGACTGTGACCTTTACAGTCAAAGACTTCTAACATACTCGCCAGAGAAAAGGAAGGGAGAAGGAAGGCATCAGAAATGAAGCTCAATTTTAAACTTAGTTTTGACGAGGGCAAGCAGAAGACCTACATAAAACTGTACAACGAAGAGCTTGCATTCAAAGTTGACAGTATCTCAAGGGGCATTTAATGTAGCTGTCCTTCACAAATGCTGTAGGAAACTGTCAGCAGAGAGAGGGAAAGAAACTAGTAGATTTGATTTCAGCTTGAGCCTCTTCAGTGAAGAGCTAATTGCTGATGCCATCAGTAAAAAAAACACGTCTGCCTGACTCTCGCCACTCACAGCTAATGAATTAATTCCAAACCACTGCCAAGGTGACAGTCACTCAGCCATAGCAGGTATACCTACAGGAAAAATATGAATGATTCATAGCTTATGAAAAGAGGAAAGTAGAGAATTACTACAGAATAAGCCTGCTACTCCCTCAAAATGAGTGTTGAAATGAATGATGAAAATCTATTCTACAAGGCATACTAACGTATCAAAATTGCCAGGTAGTATTAGACGTGGCTTTCATTTACTATCTGAATAATGAAAGATAGATAGATAGCTATGTCCTAACTAATTAAAATGTTTCCCTTCTCACACTTCAAAGGACCATTTGCCTCACAGATGTCATGCTGAGGGTTTAAAACAATCCACTTGCTCTTGTAGCAAAGCCAATTTAAGAAGTTCCTGCCCACAGTCCCCCTCCTGCCTCTCTCTTATTCGTACCAGATGTTTTGATGAAATACAGGGGAGGAAAGGGCTGTAAACCAGATAACAGAAAAGATCAGTTAAAAATAATCTACCTTGGGGGAAGAAAGTGATTTTCTTCTGCAGTCCCAGACAGAAGTGCATACTGTGACTGAGATTAAAGCAAGCTTTTTAAGCTGCAGACCACCACTGATGTAATTAGACCCCACCCCTCAGATGAGGCATTTTTGTGCAACTACAGGTTCAGTAAAAAGTTACCTCAACTTACCAACTTACCCTTGGGGAGACAATGAGAACATCTGACGCATTATTTGAGTTTATCAAGTGGCTGTCTACCTGCTTTCCCTGCAACTGCCATTTTTTGTAGAAAAACAGTCCTCAAAGCTGGCAGTTCTCTTGAAGTGCACACTCAGCAACAGAGAGAGATCACTTCATCTCAGAAAGAAGGCTGCAGAAACAAAGACGATTTTGAGGTGAACGGTAAGAACTATCGTGTGAGGCAAAGTTGGAAAAGAGAGAGAGCATATTCTCCTACAGTGGCTGATTCCTTGGAAATAACCCTGACTAGCGCTCAGGCATAGCAGTTTCCTTTTTTGTGCCTCAACCAGAAATAGCAAACTTCAAGCCTGACAAAGATCAAGAGCATGGCAAGCCTCTGGTGATACAAGAATCCGAAGAGACTGAAATTTGTTTACTCAGAAGATGAAAGAGGAGATGTGATAAAAGAGTAATTTGGAATTCTTCTACCATCATAAAGGGATCTAGAAATGAAGATCAGATCCGTTCTCCTTGCCTCATAACCAAGGTTTTACCTGGCCGCACCGTCAGAGTCCACCCTGGGCCGCCAGCTGCACTACAGCTGCCTGCTGCATCCCGGTGACTGCTGGGCTCCAGCTGCAGGTCAGAGGAAATATTCTGCCTTTTGTGAGCCACAACGTCTGGTCGGCAGTGTGTTCACTGCTCGTACTGCAGAGTGCTGCTCCATTTTAAACAGTGCTTTAGTACAAGAACAAGTGGACAATCAATAAGGTGTGTTAATCAGTGTTACATTCAAAGCCCAATTAAAAAAAATAGCACGCAGTCTCTAGAATTCACCACTACACCATGAACAAAAATTACCAAAAATTCAGAGGGGATTGGATTATGTACCTGTATTGTATCTACATCATGAATATTCAGTCAGAAAATATTCTGATGGTTTTGGGGTGGAAATTAAACCTTTCATTCTAGAGTTCAAGTCCGCTCTCATTATGCAAAATCAGCGCAAGATAGCAAGGAAAACATTATCCAGTATTTGGCCGCTTCGGATTTCTTAGACATTTTTGTAAAGCTTTTTAGCGACTGCCTATTGCACTGAGTGGGCCCAGGGACTGACTCATGCGGCATTTCCTAATATGTTGTATTTCCTATTTTGCTGTTACAGCACTTACCATTTATACTATTCAGAACAAGCACTCAGGAGGATGATAGAACTAGGCAAAAATCACTAACGAAAAGAAGCATTCCTCACAATAATAACCTCCTGTGACTGCTAGATTTAAAATACCCCGACAGCACGGTAAACAGATATTAAAGTCTTCCTACCCTGCTCCCCTTTCCTTCTTTCCCACTAGCTCAGTTTTCTGACCAGGAAGCTTGGATTTTAACAGTATAATGATGTACGACTGGATGTCTAGTATAGCAGAGGATTTATTGTCATCAAACAATTAACAAAGTCGTTAATTTTCAAATACATATAAGCAAAAGACATTCTTAGGTCAAGTAGAATAAGATCAAGCTTTGGCTTCTAATCCAGCTCTGTTTCTGATGCAAACCTCAGTAAATCATTTATCCACATCTCAGTCTTCATATTTCAGGTGACTTGCCAGTAATACTTACAGATCTTTCCTCAACAGACTTAGGGAAAAAAAATTAGTACCTTTTAGAATGTCCAGCTATTAAATATAACATTGATTATTTAAGTATGTCTTTACACAATTAAAATGGAAGCTGAATTTCAGCACTGGTATTTACTACAGATCTTTGCTCCAATGCAAAATTTTTAGGGTATTTTAACACGTAGAAATGCCTATTTCACTTGTATTTGTTAGCATACAGTTGAAAAGACTGCACATAGTTGGTCTAAATGTTTCTTACTGTATATCAAATGGAATAGATGTTTGATACCTCTCTTTTTCACACAGTAGTTGCTTTCCAGTTACAGCACTTGTAGGTGTGACTTACAACTTCAGGAAGTGTAAAAGCAGAAAAATTCCGTATTATCTTAAACTGCCAATTTTTATTCCTCATTATCAGTACAAAATACATCTTCAACACATGCATTTCACTACATCATCCCTCACGGAATAATAACCACTGTAGATACAAATAAAAGTAAAAAGCACACAAACAAACCTTCACGATCTTCTTCTACTGCCAAAAAATATGGCATTTTTTTCATAGTTCCTCTAAGATCTTGTTTTAAGGCCAACATGTAATCTTCATCTTCTCCTGTTTTCAGAGGCACTGGCTTATTGTCTGTACTCTGTACAAATTATGTTTATTATTTATAAGGTCTTAACATCCATCAAAACTATGCATTATGCTACTTTGCAAGTATACTTTATTGCATTCTGACATGCATAACTATGTTTACAACTAAATTTGTACCTTCTATGACTTGGCTGTATGTTTCTGCAAAAACACATCAAGAAATCAAGGAAAAAAAAACCTATTAAAACTGTGAAATAGTCATTCATAGTCATGTTAAGCTCTTAATTGCCAAAAGCAGTTTTTGACACCAGCCCAACTCAGAAATCACTGCTTCTCTCTTCAGTCAGAGTAGCACTAGCCCTAACCTCTTCTAAAACAGTGTTTTAACTACATTAAGTATGATTACTCTGAACAACACGGACACCCTTTCCATGACTATTGTCAGAGACACAGGTTGTATCGTCACACAACCAGGTAGCACACAGACCCTCACACAATCCGGTACCTGTCAATTGAATGTAAACGAATTGTTAAAGTTTGGATTTGGTTTTTTTTTTTTTTTTTGAACTATGAATCTTGAAATTGGAAAAGATAAATAAGCAAAAACAGTTGTAAAAATATACAGAAAACTAGAGCTAGAGACAGAATTATAGAATGGATGTTGTTTCTCTCACATGACAGATGGTGCACAATCAATACCTGAGTGGTAAGTTGCAAAGCACAAAGTGCTACTGCAAGCCCCAGAGCTGGATCATGAAAGCAGTTTACTGTTTCCAGCTGTATTTGCTAGCTGGCCAACATTTTAAATCACTAATGCTGCTGATGGTAAGCTGATGCTCCTTAATTGGGTTTCTAACTGCATTTACAGGAAATTTGTAAGAACTCAAAAAGTGGCTATTAGAAATATAGCAACAATTCACTGCTTAAAATAATTTCAGTGTAAGTCAGTCAACAACTGTAATATACTTTTGGTCACTGCCTAACCATTAAATCTAACTCTTGAAATTTTTATCGACACTAGTTATGCCACTGGGTTGATTTTTTTGAATGGCACTAGCTTTCCCCTGAAAAATTTAACTTAGTTCTAAAACTTTGTTCACAGAAGGAAGAAAGCATCTTTAACTTCTCCACGGCATACACTAGATATATTGGGGCTAGTAATTCTCCTACAAGCCTGATCCACTGCAGACTGTAACTGCAGAAGCTGTAGTTCACACAGAATTCAATTTCTTTGTGCTATCAAGCAGACTGCAACATTCATGTTAGGAACAGTTACAGACGGCTTAGCATCAATGAAATCACACAACTTAATTGTAAAGGTGGACTACGAAGATAGATAACATCTGGTTCAGTAAGTCAAAATCTTGGGTGAAATAACTATTCAGAGAAATCTCAGCATAGCACTAATTATATGCCAAACTTGCAAGTTCTGTATCGTAACATGTGAGATTGAGAAAAATTTCATGCACCTTGATCAAACCCTGACATAACTGGGAAGTTCTCTTACGTAAAACTGCAAAATTGTTAAGACTACTTTTCAGCTTCAAAATTGTCCAAGCTTCCCTGCGCAGCAAAACTCAGTCAGAAAATGCTCTTTCTTCCCCTTTAACTTTCAAATGCAACACAAATGCCAAATCTCCTCCCTAATTACATAAAATATCTTTCAGTTGTTTTCAAATTCTGGCTACTGAGGTACAAGACAATCATCCAAAATCTTTTATGTTTGCATAGTAAATTTCTAAAATCAGCAAATCAGCTTCAACGACTAGTGTAACTTCATTTCAAACAAATTCAGATGCCCACTGTTTCCATTACTGTAATGTCCAGAAAATCAAATCATAATGAAGGCTTTAATGAACCAGTATCTTGCAAGCAATCTAGGATACAACAGTTAGCAAAGGGACAGGAAGCAATAATAAGAAAAACAATTATTTATATTAAATGCTTCAAAATTGGCCTAAAGTGCTTAGGGTTGTTCACATATTTCATTACATTCTCTAAACATGACTCTGAATACACTTCACCTGAACACAGAGAGTGTGCTGTAAGACCCTTGCTGTACTTACAGGAAATGGCGGTGGAGGCTTACACACGACATCGGGTAGAGCTGCACCTTTAGCAAAGCCAATAGCCTCAATGTCGAAGGTAAACGCAGCACGTCCTCTTCCTCTACCTGACCCAGCCATCTGGAGTTACTGAAAAAGTTAGATTTTTAAAGATTTATTTTTGTTACATGTATCAAATACATGTATGTATTACCTATAAAAGTAATGCCTAACAATAGTAATTTTAAAACCGCTCTCAAACATCATTTTAAATAGCAAGCCATTTTTAATGTCCATCTTAGGTTCTCCCACATACTATAAACTTGGTACGTGCCTAAAATCAATTCCATTCCCTCATTTTGCTAGCCACCGCTGCATGCCTGAAATTACCTTCTAACCTAGGAATTTTAAACTTTCTTCTTCTAAACCTTAGATACACTGACTTAAGTTCAATCAGGATAGAAGAACCAGAAACAAGAAAAGATTAAAAAAAAAAAATAAAGAAAGAAGTTCAAGGACCCTGAACTTTCTCTGAATACATTTTGCAGTTTCGGAACTTTTCTCCAAAAACCAGTTTGTGTTTGTCACTCATGGCTTCTTTGTCCTTCAGATTATTTTTTTTTCCTTTATCTTTGTAACTAGTACTTAGGTACTTGGGTACTTATAAAGAGCCAAAAGCAAGAGGTTCAAGGTAAAAGCATCAAAGGACTTCTTTCACAACACCTCTCTCTGCTCCACGCCAGAGTACCTGCAAGCTAACTGCTGATGAAAGGTGGTTGTTTCTAACTAAAATATTTCACCAAGGACATAAAAGAAAAATAGCCTAAAAAACTACATTTGCAGTCACATCTCACCACCTTCACTGTTACGCCAATCTCCACCTCAGGATTGTATGACCCATGGGCTGGCAAGTAAAGCAACATGTGAGAAATACATTTTTTGCAGCGGAAGATGTCAAGATATGGAACCCAAGTGAAGCCTGGCTGAAGCAATGCGCTACTGCTCACTCCCCAAGACCACGTAAAGATCAATTCAAGGCCCCAGCCCAGAAATCCCATGTGCTGTTTACCATTAATTGCAAGGTTACCGTATTGCACCCTGCTTGGTAAGAACGTGCCTGTTCCAGACTCACTGCTGTACCTGTATCACCACAACTATCTCCACCATTAGTGTGGGGGTGAGATAGTAAGTTCAAACAGGAAATAAGAAACAGCACAATAACTACAGCTTCTCATACACTTGTCTAAAATAACAAGGAATCCAGGAGAGAATTATGATTAGGAGCAAAGAAATGCATGCTTAAGATTAAGATCTTTTAAGATTCCCCCAAATGGAAGCAATGGCCTTTTTATTAAATGCCAGTGAAAACAAGGGTGATGCAAGTATTCTCCTACTTACTATTTTCAACGGGAATAAGCTCTGCTTGGATAAAACAAAATCACATTATATATTACCACATCACTCAGCAGCACAGAAAACGGTCTAAAAATAAGCAGAAAGACCTAAATAAATCATTTTAAGAAAGACAACAAAGCAAAGTCTAAGCCTGAGCATTTAATTAACTGGAAATAAAAAAAAAGCAAAAAAGAAAAAAAGAAATAGCAAACTCATTTGAAAACAGGATGAAAACCAAGATGTGAGCCTGGCAGAATGGAGAAAGATAAAAGATAGAGTAAAGCCCCAAACATAAGCAATTACATTATCTAGGTGTGAAAAAAGGGAACCAGAAGACAACAAAAAAAAAAAGTTAAGGGAGATGTCCAGCTAGCAAGGAGAGGCACATCGTTTGCATTAAATATAGTGAATATAAAGGTCCATTTTTAAAATGCTGCTTTAAAATTAATTCTCTGTAAGATTTTCCTGAAATAGCGCATTAATCTCATGAGAAGTAACAAGCTTTAAAACTAGCGGTATTTCAACTCCGCAGTTTTACTGAAACTCGTGATTTTTTCAAGCATACCATAAACTGACAGTGACAGATAACCGGAGAAATCGTGAAGGAAAAGTTGAGATGCACAACTAAGTGACCAAGCATGACAAAGTTACCATGACAACTAGTGCTTTGGCTGCCGCGAGGGATGCCTAATGGAGCACCTGGACCCATTTTTGTGTTTACGGATGGTTTGTGTGTCGTTTACTGTATAAATGAGGAGGCGAATTTCAAATTTAAGCTTTTAGAATTCTTTCAAAACTACGTACGCTGTTGCTCGGGCAGTCAGTCAGGGGAAGGCTGCGGAGGCCTTCGGGAGGGGATGTCGGTGGAATCGGGGTCCCCGCCGGCTGCGGGGCGGCTGGTGCGATGGCGGCGGGCGTGAGGAGGCTCGGCGCAGGGATGAGCTCTCGTTATCGTACCTTTTCCTCAGAACAAAACTCTGGACTGTGTTCGGATCCTCGATTTTCAGAGGCAGGGGCAATCAGTGGAAGGGAAGAGCAGATAAAAGAGAAAGGACTGAAATCTAAACGCTGAGATTTTGGGTTGTTTTTTTTCTTCACCTGATGCCCCTGAACGTAAAAAGGTGAAAATATTCGTCACGACGGCCACAAGCCCCCGCCACGTGAGAATACACC